TATGAATAATGCTTTGGCTTTATTCTGTAGGTATTAGGGAGGCATTGCAACCCTTCAAGTAGAGCAGTGACATTTGTTTATACGGGAAGAGAATTTTGGTCCCGGCGTGACTGATAAATAAGGAAAGCGTGTTTAAGATTGGAAACACATACACCTGTTTTTAGACTACAGCAGCAGTTTAATTAATAAATGGCAATTGGCTGACATAAGGTAGGACCATTGGAAATAGATGAATATATTTAGCAGTTTTCAGGAGTTAAAGCAAATATGGTTGGTGAAGGGTGTGATGTTTTGAGGGACCAGGTACTAGATGCTCCTGATGCAGAAGAGCAAAAGAGAAGGAGGACTAGGATGTGGGTGTTTTGCTTTGTTTGTTTAGTAAATTGTCAATAAATACAGTTTTAGCTGTTTTGAGATTGAGATAAAGGCAAGAATAAAGAATATTTGGATGGAGAGTTCAGTGTTCAGTTTGCCATATGTTTATGACTATTTAGATATACAGTTTTACTTATTAGTTAAATTTTTAATCTTTGCTCACTAAATTGGAAGCTCCAATAGAACCAGTATTGTTGGCCTGGTTTTCTGCTGTATCCCCAGTGTCTAAATCATGCCTTGAACATATTAAGCAGCCAATAGCGAATTGCTGAGTGTATGAATATATGCATCCCGTAGTTTCGGAAGAGATATAATTTTATGAATCATCAGCATATTTTTTAAAAGAACTTAAGTAGACCTGATTGTCTATGGAAAGTTTACAAAGTGCTGAACTGAAAGATAGGAGACCTAGCTTTTGGTGCTGACCATGCTGCTAACCTTGTGACCTTGGGCATGTCCTTGGATTTTTCAGATCACGGATCTGAGTTCCATGGAGGTGGGGGATTGGACAAAGACCTTTAGTTTTTCCTACACCATCAAAACTAATAGGAATGGGAGTTTTATTGTCAAGACAAAACAGTGTAAAAATTTGTAGAACAACAAAGGAGGAAATAAGAAAACTATATTTGGAAGATGTAAAACAGATAAATGCTGACTGATTATCAGACTCTACAAAAACAAATACTGTATTATTAGTGGGAAAAACTGAGACACATCCAGATCTACACTGTGTAATCAACAAAAAAAAATGTGCAGGAAGAGGCAGTACCAGCTACTTCTGGATCTAGGGGTGATGGGTGGAAATTTTAAAATATTTAAGAAGTAAATAGATCAGTGCTTCTCAATCTCTGCTGAACCTCAGGCTTGGAATGACCTAAGGAGTTTTAGAGACTTCTGGCACCTGGGTCCCACATCCAGAGATTTTGAATTAGTTGGTACCCAAGTAATTCTAATCTATTGAGATTGAGGGACTCTGAGCTTGGATTGGAGCAGTGTGATTCAAGATTCTGGCCTGTTGAGGGGAAAAATAACCAAGCCTTCTGACATTGCTCTGACTTTTGAACTTGACATAACTATTGGAAGATGGATATGCTCCATCAAAACAAGAGAATGTACCAAGAAAGATGAAGGTATAGGCTTCAGAAAATAGGCAGTCAAACCAGGAGGAATACAAAAGGAATTGTGAACATCCAAAGAGAGGTAATACCCAGATAATGGCCATGCAGTAGAATTAGAAGCCAATCCAAATAGCAAGAACATGGAAGTCTCAGAAAAGATATCCTTAAACAAATTGAATTAATAATGTAACTAATGTGATCTACCATGTATAACATTTCATTTAAAGACTTTAAGACTTTAGGAAGGTGTGTGAAGAATTAGCAACATGTACAGAGAAACATTAATGAAGAACACATTCAATCAAATAAAACAGTTCTCAGTTGTGAATAATATTTGTATAGGCAATATTTATGTATTTATGCCTATACATTAGATATATATATCTAAACCATATATATATGTGTGTGTGTATATATATACACACACACATATATATATATGTATAAACTATATAAACACTGAATACTTATTTAACCAACAATTTCAATCTAAGTATTTTAGGAGGAAATTGTAGAAAAGCAGAGAAAATGATAGTAAAAGAGAACTGAATTATAATCTTCATAAATTAAAGTCAACAGATAATGTACTTAATTTGCGACACAAAAGACAGCAGGGCATATATGTTGTTTAGAAATTTGGAGACGTGTGGAAGTCATAAAAAGCAGCTTAAAAAGTGGAAAGTAGTTGCCTCTATGAAAGGGTCTGTGACAGACCTTCTCATTACTAGTGCTCTTTGAAATTTGTTGTGGGACTGTGTCCTGTCCACTTTAGTACACTTAGCAGCACCCCTGGCCTCTGTGCCCTAGATGCTAATAGCAGCCCCTCTCCCCAAATAGAGGCAACCAAAAATGTCTCTGTATTTGTCTTTCTCTGAATGACTTACTTCACTTAGTATGATAATCTCTTGGTCCATCCATGTTGCTGCAAATGGCATTATTTCATTCTTTTTCATGGCTGAGTAATATTCCATTGTATCTATGTACCACATCTTCTTTATCCGTTCAGTTGTTGATGGACATTTAGGTTGTTTCTTTGTCTTGGCTATTGTAAACAGTGCTTTACGAATACTGGGGTGCATGTATCTTTTTAAATTCCAATTTTTTCTGATTGTATGTCCAGGAGTGGGATTGCTAGATCATATGGTAATACTCTTCTTAGTTTTCTTGAAGGAACCTCCATATTGTTCTCCAAAGTTGCTGCACAAATTTACATTCCCACCAACAGTGTAGGAGGGTTGCCTTTTCTCCACACCCTCTCCAGCATTTATTATTTGTAGACTTTTGATGATGACCTTTCTGACTGATATGAGTTTTGATTTGCATTTCCCTAATAATTAGCTATGTTGAACGTCTTTTCATGTGCCTGTTGGCCATCTGTATGTCTTCTTTGGAGAAATGTCTATTTAGGTCTTCTTTCTAGCAACATTTAGTTGTAAATTATGGTTTACAAATCTACTGAATGGTTTTTCATAACCATGGTTGAGCAGGTAATCCTGGGTGCACAGAAATATATAAGACCTTGTCCGTGATTTCAGGTTACTTACAAACCTATCTGGACATTTGACAGAAACAGCAGTATAATCACAGAGAGGTCTTAGAGAGGTTTTGGAGTCAGAGGAAATGTTCTGAATTCCCAGCTTTTCCCCCACATTAGCTCTCTGTCTGTGAGAAATGTCTGGCACATAATACCCAGCAGTGTGATTTCCAGTTGCCCTTCTCCCAAAAATCTTTCTCAGTTCTGTGACTATGAAAACAGATTATGACCTATGTTTAACTGAATTGTGCAAACAATAAGTGCTATTGGTATTGCAAGGAAGAAGCCTCTCAGCTGTGGAAGAGTGGGGGAATATTCTTATAGGAGAGCTGCAGCTGCTCAAATGGATACGAAATGGGGCTTGTGTGTCTTAGGTCCTTAGGTCAATGTCAGCAAAGATTCTTCTCCTTTTAATGGAAGAGACAAACCAATAACCTCCCCAACCCATACCCAGTATAAGTCCCTGATGGAGTTATCCTAATTTTTATATTGCCATCGTGACTGATAGTCTGTCTCTGACCACTTACAGTATTTGTTTGGTAGGAAATTCAACATAAAAATGGTCTGGCGGGCTTTCCTGGTGGCGCAGTGGTTGAGAGTCCGCCTGCTGATGCAGGGGACATGGGTTCGTGCCCCGGTCTGGGAGGATCCCACATGCCACGGAGCGGCTGGGCCCGTGAGCCATGGCTGCTGAGTCTGTGTGTCCGGAGCCTGTGCTCCACAACGGGATAGGCCACAGCAGTGAGAGGCCCACATACTGCGAAAAAAAAAAAAAAAAAAAATGGTCTGGCTTGGAACTGATCATGAGGCTCTGGGAATAAATTTCTTTATTGAGTTTATCAAGGTTGTTGGTTTTTAACAAATGCAAAGAATTACATAGAGTTGTGTTTCAGTGAATAAGAATTAAGATGCTTTTAAAAACTAGGTATAAATGTGGCTTTAAGTAGTAATTCTATTAAGTCAGACAGTCTGGATATACTTTCTTTTGATATACCTTTCCAGGGTAATTATTTGTTTTTCAGCAGAATAATGTTCTTTATCTCAAATCAGTTTTGTTGCAGTTAATGCTATTATTATTTATTAGTATAGGTAAAACCAAGGGCATTTTCATTTGGCATGAAGTAGATTTTTATTTTTCAAACCTAAGAACAGACTGAAGTTTGCTAGTGAAACTGCTTTGGTAAATACCATCAATTCTGATGACAGATTATTTGCAATAATCCCAGGCAATTTTGTTACACTGCCATTATGTTTAGGCAATAGCAAATTAAAATGATAAAATGTCCTTATCTCTTTCCTGCAGCTGTTTTAGCAATCCCATAAAATGAGTTTATACCGTCAGCTGTACCTGTCCAGAAATATATAAATACAGGTGGCATTGTTCCTTAAGTATTCCACTAGTCACCATGCTATGTGGACAATCTAATGGTCCATTTTTAAAGAAAATGTTTGTGTCTGTTTTTCAATTATTTGAGAAATAGACACATTCTTTGCTTTGCCTGGTGTCAGGGTCATCTCACCATATATATTATAGTAAATTACTGTAATAGGAGCACTTGGCATGTTGCATTAGAGTGAAAAGAAAAACAGATTGGCTGGAAATAAGAAGAATTCATTCTTTCTCCTCTCTAGTGTGTATGCCCTGACAACCACCAGGGGAACTTATTAACCTTCCTCCCATTGTCAATGTTTCTAGAAAGCAGAACTGAATTGAATAAGCTGTGCAGTCAAAAAACCTTTCTTTCATTCCCAACTGAAGATAAATGTTTCTTTTTTAGATCATTTAAAAGGGACAGTTTAAATATAAGTTTGGATTTAGTTTTGTTCTCCTCAATATACTTATATATGGGAAGTTTGTTTTCATTTATATATGTACATATTTATTTGTTGTTTTCTGTTTATGAGTCTTTGTGAGATCTTTTGTTCTGAACTTGGGGTTTCACTCCTTTCACAGATGTTTACTTTCTTACCAGGAGCACCATGCTTGGCTCTATGGTCTGAACAAGTAGCTGAGTAAACTGAGTCCACCAGGAATCAAGTTCATAGATTCACTGAGGATCTACCTTCTCTGGTCACTTTGTACCTGTGGTCCAGCTCCTTTTCCACTGTACACGTTCCATGGTTTTCATCATTCACATCTCTGTAGGTAAGTTTCTTGGAACGTGCTTGTTTCCAGTGTATCTTTGCTTTGTCCATATCATTGTGGCACGTTTTGGTTCAGTGTCCCACCTCATTTTTTACCACTCTTTTGTAAATATCTGAACCACATTGAGACTATCATTATTCTGAAAATAGGGCAAGATATCTGCTCCTGTGATTTGGACCTAGCTAGTTTGGATATGGCTTTGCTTCCAACAGATACATCCTTATAGCCAAAGGAAGTTGATTACTCTGCTGGGTACTCCAACTAGTTCTGTTTGGAAACAGTATACCTCAGCATGTCAAGATGGCCCTGTTTCCTGAGGGAATCATGGTCAATGGATGCCTGGAAACAGATATTTATTATTGTAACAAATGAATGAACAATTGGGCACAGCCTGGTTTCAGGTCAGTTTTAAGTCACTACTTTCCTTATGATGGTTGCTTTATAATTTGGACTTGTGGTGTTCAAGGGTGTAATATTTCCTTCTTGAACTTCATGCATCTTGATCTGGGACACAAAAGCATAGCCGCTAAGACCAGGGGACATGCAGTCATAGGGATAGAGTTTAAATCCTTTACCCGCCACTTTCTCTTAGCAAGTTATTTAATCTCATGTAGTGCTTGTGAAAGATTAAAAATTAAAAAAGCTGGGGCTTCCCTGGTGGCGCAGTGGTTGAGAGTCCACCTGCCGATGCAGGGGACACGGGTTCATGCCCCAGTCTGGGAAGATCCCACATGCCACGGAGTGGCTAGGCCCGTGAGCCATGGCCGCTGAGCCTGCACGTCCGGAGCCTGTGCTCTGCAACGAGAGAGGCCACAACAGTGAGAAGCCCGCGTACCGCAAAAAAAAAAAAATTTAAAAGAGCTATTTAAAGCAGTTATCACATTTCCTGGTATATGGTAAGTATTTTTTTAAATGTGAAAGAAAGAAAAACAGCAAATAGCACAAATACCATCTTGGTACACTTTTTGATTTGAAGACAATGCTTTCTGAGGATCTCTGAAAACAGTCTAGCTTCCTAAAGCTCTCCATGCCAGTACTGAAATGGGCAGGACCTTGCAATCAACCTTTTACACTGGGGAAGATTTGGGCTCAGACCCATGTATGGTCCTCAAGACCTTCAAAGAAACTGAAAATGAGAGCAATCCAGTCTCTCAGTTTGACGTAATGGCAACTGTCTTTTCTTTGGAAACACTGAAAGTTATTCTTCCGTGCTTTGAGACTCACCAATACAAGTGACTAAAGCAATTCTTTAAAATCTTGGAAAAATTTATTAGCATTAGAGGTTTCAGAAATCACTGTTAACCAAAAGCAAGTGCTATGTTCTTGAAAATAACAGACACCTCTTGTATTGTAGCTAAGATAGTGTTTTTGTTGTTGTTGTTGTTGTTAGTTTTTTGGCTTTGTTTTTATTGGAAAAAAACAGGAAAATCTCATTATAATGATTTTATCTCTAGTTTTATTCAGTGGCTTAGAACCTAAGTTCAGCATTAAAACTACAAGATACTAGGAATATTGTCAGTGATTTAAAATATGATGTATCTAGGGATACTTTTAAAGAACTATTGCCTTTTTGTTAACATAAAGCACTTATATCTAGATGGATGTAACAGTTTTCTGTGGGCTTGTGGAGACAAGATGCCGTTTTCTTGATTGTTATTAGGCAGTTATTTGTAAACATACTCAGTGTTCTTGTTGTATAAAATTATACTGTTATCTGTCCAATTTGGAGTGCATATCGTAGATCCTGACTGAGCGAATTTTTGGAAAGGAAGTCAGTATGAAATGGTATTTCGTTAACTTGTCTGCAGGCTTCTAAAGGAGATGAAGCAAATTAAATAATTCTTTGCCAAAAATGGAGCTACATACATGTCCTAGATATTTAGAATTTTGACCTAGAGCCATTATTCTCAGTCAGCATTAAAGTGTTGGCCCTATATTCAAGCAATGAGATCTCAGTTTGTGTCCTTATTTGCCATGTGCAATGATCTGTTGGCTGTTGGTATCTTAATTCTTCTAACCTGTTTGCTTATCTACAGAGTGGGGGAAATAATAGGACACACTTTTAAGGACGTCTTATAAATTAAATAAGATAATATACATAAAGTACTTAGCAAAGTGAATAATATATAGTATATACTTAAAAAATGGAAGCTCCTTCTACAAATACCATTAATACCTCTACTATCATTATTACTATTATCACTAGAAAAAATTTACCTTTGGTTGTCTCTCGTTTTTCCTTTCCTTTTTCTTACTTCTATTTGTGGTGTTGAGCCACGATCTGAGATGTGAAATCCCCAAGGTCATACTTACATAGAAGAAGAGGGAAATCAGGTAGCTTTATGTCTGGTATAAATTTACTTATCATGAGGGCAAAAGAAACGCTAATCAAATCTGTGTCACACATATATATCAAGTCAATCACAGACTGTAGAATATATATTGTTCAAGCCCGAAGACTGCTTTCCCGTGATTTATATTGGCCTCAGAAGTCTCCAACCCTAGCATGTACTGTGTGGTAGCACTGCCAGGACAAAAATCCACAACTGAGTGATTCAAAGAGTTCTGCGCAAGGGGAGTTTTTAGTCTGTAGTGAAAACCTGCAGTTCCAACTCCCCTCCCTGCCTCTTTTTCTGAATCTCTTCCAGGAAGTGACTCTTTGGGCATAATTAGAATTTTTCTGAGACGCCTGCAAGAATGTAAAATACAAATTGTCTTTAATATCCTCAGTGAGCATTTATTCATCTATTTGTTCATATATTCATTCATAAACTCATGTACGGGGTTTCTGTTAAATGCTGGGCATTTTGCTGGACTTTGGGGAAATTGTGATAAATAGAACAAAGTTTGTTTTTGCCCCTATGATGCTTACGAGAATGGAGGAGAAAACAGACCTTGACCTTGTAAGGAAAGTGTGATGAGTGAGATGAAAGGACAAGTAGAGGTGCCATAGACACATGTAGTAGGGAACATGTAAACTGAAAGGACAGGTAGAAAAGTCAATGAAAGTTATTTTGTAAAGTAAAGTATTTGTGTAAGTTGAGTACGTGGAATCAAATGAGAGATGAGTTGGCATCAGGATAATGTTCCAAAAAGAAAGAATAACAAGTTCAAATACCTAAGCAAATAAGCACAAAGAAACAAACAAACAAAAAACCCATCTTAGAGCTAAAACAGCAGTGTAATAAAAGCTTTTATAGGGAGGGTGTAATTTATATGGTAGTTGATGGAATGCCACAGTTTTGAATGGTATTAATACAAATGGAATGTATGTTTCAAAAAGTTAAGTAGTGGGGCAGTATATGGATATGAGGTGGGGAGAAGTTAGAGAGAGGGCAACTTGTTTGGAAACTGCTGCTGATGTGTTAGGGAAAGAGGCTGTTGGCTGAAGGTGAGGCCCAGAAGCATAGAGAGCATGGATTCAGGTATTTGGTTCTTCACCCATCATATGCCTTATTTAATTAACTGGTTTTATGCACAGTTCTAGTTGTGGTAGATACAAAGAGGAGAAAGGCATGGTTCTTGCTCCAGGGAAACCAGGAGGGAGAGGGAGAGGGGCACTGATGCAGAAGAAAGGAAAATGCTTTATAATTTACTAGGTTTAACACCATTTTTTTCCCCTGTTTTTTTGAACAAAGGGCCCTGTATTTTCGTTTTGCACTAGGCCTTGATCAAAGGTTAGGGGCTCTAACGAATCATCTTCTGAGATTCATCTACCAAAATGGAAGTTAACAAAGAAAATTCCACTTATGCGTCATTCATTTCAGAGTCAGCTAACCTTCGTACCGCCCGAGTAATAACAGGGCTTATTACCTGGGAGGGAGGGAGGAGGGGGAGGGAAAGACAGAGAGAGACAGAAGGAGAGAGAGAAAGAGAGAGAGATTGAGATTGTAGTGTGACACTCCTTGGGTAACAGTTGGTGAGGTAAAGTGTTAGGTCATTTTACAGAAAACAAATTCACCCAAAGCCCATCCAATGAAGGATCAGTTCCTCTAAGTATTATTATTATCATTATCATCATTATCAGTGCATTATCAGTGCATCATTTTGAGCACTGTACTAAGTTCTTGATATGCACTGTCTTATCCAGCTCTCTACCACCCAATAAACTGGCCTCCAGGCTCTATTTTTACAATATTTTACAAATGAGAAAATTGAGACACCAAGAGGTTAAAGGGCTTGACTAAGGTCCCTCAGGCAAGATGTAGTGAAACTTGAATTTGGTCTGCCTGACTTCTGAGTCCATAGTTTGAGGGAGTTAATAATGTCAAACAAAAAACCTGATAAAGTTTACAGAAAAAATACTGTCATAAAGCAGCAGTGGAATAGCAGGGGGAAAAAGGCAGCCCATTTTTGGTTTAAAGTGTTACACTTCTTTTTAAGATAAAGACAGTAACTATCTGGAAATTAGAATTGGATTTATGACATCATTTCTCAAGTGATGGGATCTTTCACAACCAAGTTTTTAACCCATTAGAATGAATGTTGGAGACATTGTCTCCTTAACTGGGTAAAGTTAAATCAGATCCCCTCCAGTGGGAATGCAATTAAACAACACTCGGCTTATGGTTGGGAGGTCTGGTTCATCATATTTCTGCTCTTTTCTGGCTCAGGAAATTTATACAAGTCACTGAGAATCCCTGTGTGTCCATTTCCTCACTTTTAGAATCAGAAAAATAGTACCCATCTCACAGATTTGTCATGAAGAGTAATTAACCATGTATGTCGGCACCCAGCCAACTCCATGGGACAGGAATAGCCCTGCTAGGCAGTCAGTAGGATGGTTATGTGCAGTGCTGGAAAATGTATGTGGAGAGAGGGGCCATCACCAAGATGTCAGGGAGAGTCAAACAAACTGGAAATGTGCTGATACCGCAGGCAATCAACATCATGCAAGTGTCTGCTTTTCAACTCATGGTACATAGAGGGGAGGATTATAGTCATGCATCTAATCAGTTACTACTAGGAAGTGGACACAACTTCAGGCTTAAATATACACAGATATGAAACTCAACTGAAGACTTAAATAGTTAATTCTATGCCGGGCACCATGAAGGAAACACGGCTTCCTGGATTTAAGGAAAAATGA